TAAATATATATGCAAAGGACGTCAGAATATTATAAAAATTTCAAAAATACCAAAGTTCCACATTTGCTTAAAATGAAATCAATCAATTGGTTTTCAATTAAATCTTTCCCTTTTGAGAAATGTATACTACGTACTGATTTGCAATTAACTCTTTTATAGATTTCACGTTTGCTTCCGAAGGTGGCCCATGTGTCCCCAAGATGGCACCGGTATCGGCCCACATTGGGAACATGCATATGGTCACCATTTGCATGGCTTAAAACTTTTAATCTGTTAGATTAATACGAATTGAAGAAATGTGATTAAAGAAAAGGAAATAAACTCTCAGAAAACGTATCATAACTCAAAGTTCTAAGAGTTTAAACACATATAAATTACAATATCTTCGTATATACCCGGAAATTAGAACGACAACTGCAAATAATTGAATAATTTCATGCAATAGAGGCCATTCAAGGAAATCTCTTCCAATTCAACCACATGCACCTCAGATCAAGGGCGCCGGCAGCGGGGTGCAAGGGGTGCACTTGCACCCCCCTGCCTTTTTTTTAAAAATAATTAGAGATACAAAAAAAAATGTGTTATAAATTTTTTTTATTAAACATATTTTTATGGAAAAACAAATAATTAAGTAATTATTGACACATAACAATTAAAAAATTGTTTAATCAAACAAGAATTGTAATCGTCTTGTTTGCTGTCCAAATCTGTTTTTAACTTTTTCAATGAATTCTGAGTCATCTTTGATTCTTTTCTTATGGACACTGAGCATTCACAAACTTGGCAGATATCTAAGCTATATTTTTAAATTTCATTTAATAAATGTAAATAATATTATATATTCTATTAGTTATTCAGTTTAACAAAGGTGTATAACACAAGCTGACTTCTCGCAACTGTAAAACTTCATCAACACAACTGTTTGTAGTTATTTGTGTTTCAAAGTCAGTAGCTATGCCAGCGCGATCGCCTCTGGGCAAAATTTGCAGGAACAAGGTATTCGTACTTTTTTTTAAATATCTTGCTAACAATGAAGAAATGTATCTTGAAAAAATGAAC